TTTTTATAGCATGGTATAGTTTTGACCTGTTTTGCCTTACTGTCAAAGTGTGCTTCTGATTGTTTTACATGGTGTAAATATGACTTTTTTTTATTGATGTACTACTGAAAAAAAAAATTAGCTTCATCTCTGCAGTGCTATGAATCATAGCAAAAAGTTGCAAGGCGTTAATTGCTGAAATGAAACTTATATGAGCAACCAGATTGCCTTTACATGTCATTTGTTTTTACTGCTTTGATTTTGAGAACATTGTTTTTCCCAATGTTTAGACAAATTTAATAATTATTGATTCTTTTGGTATTATATTTCTTTTACTTCAAGACTACTTATATGACAATACATTTATAATGATTTTTCTATTGTTTGAATCATGCATCTTCAGTTATGTAGTTTGGGTCAAACCAACTGGAGCCTGCTGCATGACAAAATGGACAAGAGGAACGGTTACCTGGGTGCAGTTGTGCAACAATGTAGAGGTGGATGGTATGTCAAGACATGTTCTTGACCTTAGAGTGATTCAGGAGGATTCAGAGAATGATGGGGACAATGGGAGAAGTTCTCATAAGGCTCAGCCCCAAACACTGCGGAGATCGCAAAGAGAGCAACACCCACCCAGATTGATGGATGACTATGTAATATGAGATGTGATCATGAGATCAGGCAGGCGTGTAGTTTGGAAAAAAAAACTCACCTCATGGATGTCCGTACATAAAAAGAATCTTGTGGGGAAGTCATATTGTTTTTTTGCTGACAAATTAACGCAAAATCACAGTGGCCACGAGATTTGAGAAAATATAAATATGCAGTGTATGAAAAATGGAGGGAAAAAAGGAAGTTAGTCTACAAATGATCAGACAATACGACAAATACAATATCTACACTGGTAAAATGAGCTTCAGGAAAGTTTTCAATGTTCAGAAGTTTTTAAATATACTGAAAATAAAATTTTAGTCCGAGATGCCTAAAACTAACCAGTGCTATTTCCAAACCAGTCTAAATATATACATGCATATTATAATATCTATATCTGTCTATATTTCCAAGATAAGGTATTATATACATTATTTATATTATTCGGACTATTGTCCTCATCTTTGTCGCCATATTTATTACGTTTTGGCTGCTTGTACACTCTGGCCTTCTTCTCAAGGACACATGGCACAGTGGATAAAAGCATTAGTTAGATCCAGTGACAGGATCCAAAGATTGTGAGTTCAATACCCAGTTAAGGCAGTGGAGAACTTTCAGAGGGAAATTAACAGGGGATAACTGATAACTGATATCCATTAAACATGGCACGTGGAACTAGAACAGTCTACATCAGTGAGCGAAATAAAGGGTTCAGTTCGACATTTCAACCACCTGAAGAAGGCTGGAGCATTGTTGTAATAAATATGGCGACAAAGATGAGGACAATAGTCAGAATAATGTAAATAATGTATATAATATCTGTTTTGTGACATATTTTTATTGTCTCTTTCTGATATAAATTTTTTTTTAGTTTTCATTTACCTTCATTTCCTCATTATAAGTCTCAAAAATTGCACCATTCTTATCAAGTATCCTTATCGTTCTTATTCAATTATCAACCCCCCCATCCCCACCCCATCTGTCTACCCATAAACCTTGGCTATCACCAAACACTTTTTTATAAGACTCGGGGAAAATATTTAAAAATTGATCACGTCTTCCATGTGAATTCATAGAAACAAATATCAGTCAATATTTAAAAACTTGCCTTTCTCTTGAAATCATGACATCTATCAGAAAGATGAAATTTAAATTTTCATTATTGTGTTATTCCAAAATCTGCCACATACTATCCACTGCAACATTGTTGCACGACTTCACCCTGTTAACCAGTTGGTTTGACTGAAAGCTTCCTCTCCAATCCGTATAGATTCAGGCCCATCAGAGTGTGTTAAACATGATCTAACTCTATGATCTCTCCATTGGTATGTGTAAATTGCTCTGTGAGGCACAGTGTCTTCACATTGACCAGATTTAGGTGCCATATTATACCAAAATACTGCTTCGGCAGGCAATATCCCTCCTATCTCGGCAATTACTTTTATAGTTCGGTGGTTTCGTTCTACAATACCATTTCCACTAGACCTGTACGCTGCTCTATAATATTGGCTAGTGTTCCACTTGTCCAACATCTCCCAAAACACTTCCTAACGGAACACTGCCCCATTGTCCATGAGTACCTCTTCAACTGGTCCATGTTCAAAAAAAGTTTCTTCCAGCTCCTTTGCAATGATGTCTGCCGTTTCTGCTCAAATCTCCCTCCAAATGGTAAACTGGCAAGCGCCACAATCAACTATAGTCAGGTATGGGTCAATCGATTAACAACAATCACAGCTTCTAACCACCTTCTGTAAAGTATCTCTTGACACCTACAGGTAGACTTTCCATACTAGATATAGTGTTCTATCCACTCCTACATGATGCAGTCTGTGCAACTCCTTGACCTCATCTCGGCCTGCACGGCACGTTGCTGTAATAGCTTTCTCTGCTTTCAGCCAACTCTTTTTCACTCTGGTTAGAGCATCGGCCTTATTTATGTCAGAGGGCACAAACGTTACACTTAATTTTAAGTTAAATTCATCAATCTTTTCATTATGGTACTATTCCAAAATTTTAACACATCAGCAGATAGGTATTAATGTCAATAACTGAGCATAAATAGTTATTAATTAAAAAAATTAGGAATTAGTATACTATCCATAACTACACATACAAGAATGTTGTTTTTGATAAAAGTTAAAAAATAACTATAAATAAATAAAAAATGTGTATATTGTCAAAAATTCCTTTTTCCATAATATAGCTATTTGTATTATGTTATAATACTTATTAAACTAAATAATAATGAATAATTTATTTTAAACATTAAAGTATATTTAATCACATCTCCCTAATAGCTGTTGCAATCTGTAAACACAGAAATAGTCATTTTTAAATAAGATAGTCACTAGCAATGACAAATTCTGGAGGCCTAAAAAATGCTGTTATTTCAGAACAGGCTGTGCTGGTGCCAACACGGTAAATTACTACAGAACCAAAACCTTCAGTTATGTTCTCTGCAGCTGTCTTCACATATCAAATTTTCAGATTTGAGGAAATAAAGCACATTTTTTGAATAAATAATTAAAATACATACTTTTTTGTGTTCATTATTTGGATAGTCTACTTCAGCGCTTCTTAAACTTTTTTTTTCATTCATGACGCCATTTTCCCCTCACAAGATTTTTCGTGACCTCAGGTATTAACCAACTACACTGAAAATATATGTTGTCACTGCACTAGTCGCAATAATACTGAACATGCATTTTATTACTGCAGCGCTTGTGTGGTGCACCACATTAAATATTGTGCATTTGTGAAATATCATATAAACTGAAATTCAAGTGTTTGAATTTAATTTGTGCAACCCCAGCATTTCGCTTCACAAATGCAAATGATCTTGTGACCCATAGTTTAAAAAGCGCTGGCCTACTTTATAAATTAGTGTTTGTATATACCTTTAATAAGCTTATTTTAATCTTTTTCACAATAATAGTGACCATATCTGAGGATGGTGGGATAGGGGCACAAGCTTTCAAACAGCACTTTACATAATAACATTCACATGACATTAGGGAGATCTTGGGGGGGGGTATCATCTCCCCACCAGCTAACACTTTTACTGAAACTGAGAACTAAACATCAGTCTAAATTTGACTTTTGACCTTCAATCTATGACAATGTTATTAAGCTGAGATGAGATGTATCATTTATTTAAAATCATTACTGCCATTAATTTTCCTAATTAGACAGAAAAATTAATTTTACAAATATTTCTTTTTAAATTAACTTCTAAAACCTATATATGAAAATCTTATATGCAGATCAAAAATGTATTATTTAAAATAAAAAAAAGTTTATAATAGTAGCTTTTATATGCAATGTCTCTTGAAGACATTAGCAATCATGGCTCTCTACAACTTCCTATTCTTTGCAGCTCTATGTTTGCCTTCTTACTATCCCTCTCACCCCCAGTTCTTCTATCCATTTAAACAAATGCTCTTTAGGTAGGTTACTCACTGTTTCTGTCTCACATGATTTCAATATGCCTTGTAAATGGCAAATTCTCCCCTTTTCCTTATGCATTCCAGAAATTTCTGCTTTTTCTGATTCTGAGCGTAAGTCTCATTTTTTGCTTCCATTTTCCTTAAAACTTCCTCATTGCTCACATTCTCCATCCATGGTATTCCCACTATTCTTCTACAGAAACACATCACTGTGACAAGTCTTCTCTTCATCTGGATGTAAATTGTTCAGCAGTCAGTGTTATATAGGATAACAGTTCTAAAAAATATTAATTTATGACAGGATCAGATAAAAAATATAGAATCAGGAATCTTTAAAACTTGATGTCTGATTTGGGCCCCACCCGCTACTCTCAATGTCCAAATTGGGCTCCCCCCACTTTTAATGTCCAAATTGGGTCCTGCACCCCCCAGACACACTTTTAATGATAACTTGCCCCCTAACATTTTATTTTGTGGGTCTATGCCTGGGTGGGTGATCCTTTGAAGAAGATTGATGCCCATCAAAAAGAAATTGGTGTCTAAAGGAGTCAACTATAGTTGGGATCAATGAGTAAATATGAATGATACTTTCCTTAGTAGCATATTATGTGCTTTGCCAAGCTACAGTGTTAAATTCAGTCTTCCTTCTCCTAGACTGGTTGCCATCCAAGGCTTTAGAATCCAGTTTTTCTTACTACTTACTCCTAGCTGACAGGTGAAGAGATGGATTCACACTTTGCCCAAGAAGACGTAATGAATTCGACTAGAATTCAAACTTGGCTTCTAAACAAACCAAACTGAAGTTTAAATCTTAAATTTTTCAAAAATGAAGCAGAGAATGAGATTTAATTGCCAACACAGGTTACTAAATGCTTTTCTTCTTGATTTGTATAAAGTACAGAATTACGAGAGGAAAATACGAACTTGTTTCAGTTCTTCGTCTCCTTTGCTTGGATGAAACACTGCAACAAAAAATAAATGAATAAATTGCATTAATTATTTACAGATAAAACCAGTTTACTAAGTTGTTCAAAAATAAACTGAACAGACGAATGAAGTTCTATGGTAAGATGACTAATGTAATTACTATGTCAAGCCAAACATGATTTTCGAACCAATCATAATATATCGCCAAACAAGTTTTATTAAATAACACGAACAACGTCTGTATATTCAACATTCTATATAGTTTTTTCAATTTCCAACTGAGGTATTTTAGATCAGGATTATAATTGTTAATCAGCTCTTCAAATTTCTTCTCTTTTTTTTAATTTTTGAGTATTTCAACAGATATTGTCAAGAATTGGGAGAGATCAAAATGTGAAGCATTTGAATAATTTCTGGAATTTTTACATTAATGGAATTGAAATTTAAGTCAGTTAAAGGAAGACGTCATCTGCAATGGTCAACTGGAAAGTATGCACTAAGTATTTATACAGGCTCTTATTTTTTTTTTTTTAATTATGATACAAAATTCAATATACTATTTCCCATGGAGAAAGATATTTTATTTAATGTTGGTCATTTCTTTTGCATTATAATTCTTGACAATGACCATGACAGTCAAATAAATAAAAAAAAAATCTCATGTTAAGAAAAAAAAAAATTGGACAATTTATTAAAAATTTTAATCCCAATATAAAACACCTCAGTCAGAAATTTGAAGGACAATATAAAAAATTGAATAGATGAACTTTGTTATTTAATAAAATTTGGGCGGGGGGTAATTCTTTCTGCTTAAATATACCTTATATATGATAAAATATAGTTTTAATGTATGCTATATTTATGGGTTAAAGTGCTCAATATCAGGGATAGAGCGTATATAAATATAAAAGCGGACATTGAAGTCAACACCCATCTGTGAGAGTCTGTTTCATACTTATATGCTATCATCAGGCTATGAAACAGAATGTCACTGCTGGGTGTTGATTTCAATTTTATCTTCATTGTTGTTATCACAACATTTGGAACATTTCAGCCATTGTGCACTTCAGCCTTCCTCAGGTGTATATTGATCAGAGAATTCTGAAACTTAACCCTTTATTTCCATGGGTGTACTGTTCTTGTACCACTGCTCATGTTTAGTGGTATCACCAAGTTTTTATTTTATTTAGTATTGTTCAGTTAATGCTCGCCCGTTTCCACAGAGTACAAGTAAACACTGCCCAATTGAAGGATTGAACTCTCAACCACGATGTCACCAAAATTCACAAACCAACGTTTTTTATCCACAAGGTCATTGTCTTCCTGAAAACCCCAAGCTAGAGGAGAGGCTCAGGTGCAGTCGTTTTGAAGACACTAAGAAAATGAAAGAGGTTGTGACAAGGGTCCTGGACAACTTCATTTTGGATAACTTCCATGGGGTCTTCACGAAATGACTACAGAACTACAAGTGCATTGAAATTTGAAGGAGATTTGCATTTGTTTTAGAATAAACTGGAAAGCAATTAATGGATCAATCAAATTTCAGAACAAGCAATCAGTTCCTCATGGATGAACAGAAAGTGAATTTGGCATGCTAAGTTCAATTCCCACTAGGGTCTGTTTCATTCACTTCACACTAATGACCTTAGGAAAGTCATGAATCTATTTTTTGTTTATGCTGTGGATGGAATAGCAGGAGAGACTCTGCTTTTTTGTCTTGACCTTGCTGTGCTTTTTTAAAACCAGCAGGTATAGAAACTAATTTGTTTTATTTACCGTCTTCATCTGTGTTTACATGTTCTGTGAGATGGAGTCAGTATAATATCAATACCAGCATGATAGTGATCACAGGGACTTGACAACTTTTGTCCTTGGACCATATATCTGCAATCTCCACTTAAGGCATTTTGTCCTATCATACCTGAGTGGGAAGGTTAGATAAATAAAATCTCTTTGCACTTTGCCCAATTTCCTTCTCTACTCTCATCTCCTAGGCTTGACTACACATATGCAAGAATAACAACAAATGTCTAAAGAAAAAAAAAATGACCCCTACTTCCTGTGTTGGGTTCTTTTATAATCACCACCCTTAGCCACAAACCCCCTCCATACCCTCTGCTTACGGTTGCTACTGCTAGGTATTTAGTCCCTACCCTCATCTCCTCAGTTCCCAATAAATATATTTTTTTCTTTCTTTCTTCAAATTACAGTGGCAAACACTCTAGAAGAAGGAAAGCTCTAAATTCAAACTAGCTTGGTATATGGGCCAAAGTTCACTTTAGTTTTTTAATAGTTTCATCTATGCTAATTTAAGCTTTTCTCTCTGTTTTTTGTTCCATGTTTCACCATTTAAGCTTTTTGATTTTGCAAACTGAAGATTGGTCTAATTAATTTATTACAAAATTTTAAAAAAAACAGAAAAAAATTCTAAGGCTAATTTCAAATAGAAATCTATCACTGAACAAGTTGTTATTTAAAAAACTAAACGGAAATAAAAAGATTTATGTTTTCAATTTTTTTCAAGCAAATAAAAAAAGAAGACTGCACTAAATTTATGTACATTTTCTAAAATAAATAATTTTAAAAATTCAATTTATTTTATACTAAATTTTTTTTTTAAAGTTTTAAAAAATCTTAAAACTTTTGTTTGACTGAGTAAGCATGGTTAAAATTATACGAAAACTAAAATTATTTTTCAGAAGTCTTTTTGTTTTTTTAAATGAAATTGTCTTTTGGTAATGATCATAAATACAATTTGTTTTTTTTTTTACTTTTAATTTTTTTTAAGTCTCTTCATTAAAAAAAATTGGAAAGTTGCAGCTTCTGAATCGGTAATTTGCTAAGAAAAAAAAAAAAACTTTACCTTTTTTTAATTTAAAATTAAGTGCGATTCAAATAACAACGTTTTTTAATGTTATTGTTATGTAACAATTTCTAACTAATTTCATGTATTGACGTGGAACAATTTCCAGATACCAAACACTGATTTATCTCCCTTACATCGCAGGTAAATTTCTTGAATGACACTCATATTCTGAGCCCTTATGAAAAATTATTATGTATTCAAAATAACAGGTTTGGTTTGTTTTGTTTTTTACGGCATATCAACCACAATGGGTTATTTAATACCAACAAGATTTTTATTTCTGGTAATACATTTTCTTCAGAAATGTATTGCTGGTAATTTTTTTTTCCCAATGTATTGCTAGTAATAATTTTTCTTCAAAAATTTATTGCTGGTATTTAAAACCTTCTTTTTTTTTTTTTTTTTTTTTTAACTACACTTAAGTGTTTTGATCACAGTTTTGGGGTTAACCATTTCCCTATAGCTGGGGCCATCCTGGGGCAGGGTGTACCTGGGAACACCAGCAATTAAGAGGTGGTTCCATGCTCTTCAAAACCTCCTGATTGGAGAGGCCTTGCCTTACTGTTGAATGTAGTTTATCATCTTACCCAGGGACGGCAAAATAACAGGGAAAATACCATATGTACAATAATTTATTTCATATGTTGGCAACCGAATTAATCTTTCGTCTCATATTGGGAGAAATAATAACTATTGTTAAGAATCCATCTCCCAAAATTAGGTGTCTTGGACAAAAATTAGCAAGAATTTAGATTAAGGCAACCAAAAAAAAAAAAACTTGAAACTTTGTTAAGTTTTTTTTTTCTTCCAAATTCTAACATTTATTTATCAATTACGAACGTTAGATTAAATGGTAAATTTTCATTTTAACACCCAAGCGCTAATATCCCTTCAAATTTTTCCAAAATAGTCTTATTTCCGTGCAAATGTATATGCTGAACTCAAATCAACAATTAGATATTAAAGAAACCTACCTTTTTGAATGTTAACGACCTGAAAAAAATTGGACTTTTTCCTGGTCTTTCGTCAGCCATTACCGGCTTATTGATAAGTAATTAAGTGATGAATTTTCTTGGTGGACGTATACAATTTGGGCCTATTTACTCCCTTCACAGTAATTCATGGTAGTTAACTTTCAAATTAGGGTTAGGTGTATTTTTTTGGTTATTTTTTTATTTTTTAAAAAAGAAAGTTAAATTTCGAATTAGGGTAAGGAGTTTTTTTTTTTTTTTTGGTTATTCTTTTATTTTTTTTTTAAGAAGAAAAGTTAACTTTCAAATTAGAGTTAGGTGTTTTTTTTCTTTTGTTATTCTTTTATTTATATTTGTTTACATATAATTGAAAGTTAACTTTATTCTTAAATTAAGTACAAAAAAATCGCTTTACGGAAGCGCGTACTAATTTCTGAGAGAAAATAGTTCAGCAGTAAATGACGCTCGGGTGTTAAAATGAAAATTTACCGTTTTTTTTTTTTTTTGGTTAATTTCAAATGTATGATCTTCCACATTCAAAGAGCGGCTCGGAATAACTTGTCCAAGAGACTTACGTGCAATTTAAGGGAGATAAATCATTGTTATTGCTTGGTAGGGTTGAAACGTTAAAATGATGAACTGTACCTCATTCCAAAGCATGGCAAACACAAACAACTTGTTTCTCTTCTCGTCAGACGAAGTACTAACTAAATAATAACATAACAAATTTTAGAGAGGATTTATTTTTATGACACATTAAATTTGGAAAATTTTGCAAAAATAAAAATAATTGTTGGATATTAATGAAATTTTCAGAAACTATTCACAAATGATGTAACTTATAAATGTTTTTTTTTTTGAAAGTCATGATAAAAATATTGTTTTTATTTATTACCGCCCACCATAACTATTTTTTTAAAATATGTTTCAATTGTTTATCTTTCTTTCTTTTTAGAAACTTTTGACAGCAGAAACACATAAGCTTTTTAAAAAATCAGTATTTGTAAATTAAATTTAATTGCAACAGTCTAAACTGTTGTTACTTTAAAAATTAATTTTATGAAGTTAAACTTTTAAAAAAGTTTTATTATTTATCTGATGGTGTTTTTAGTTTTACTTTTTAGTGGGGTGCGAAATTGTAATAACGACTCTAAATCGAACCAAACCTACCTAAAAATCGGCACTGAATTGTAACATACAAAAAAAAAAAAAAACTCAATAAAACAGATATTATTAAAGAAACAGAAATAAGTAAATTAAAAGAAAGGTCTTGTCACTTACCATGTGCCCCGTAGGCCCCCATACTGACAGCAAGTGCTCCAGAAAGTCCAGCGACCCTAACAAAATTGCTACCGACTCGACTCCACATCATAACAATGTCTTTACGTCTGACATCAAACTGAGGGTTGCTACCACATCCCCGGGGATCACTTGTTACAGAAGATGGGTTTGAACCGTACCAGAGGCTGTTTATCCATCCATTACTACTAATATTAGTGGTATTACTTCCAGAACTGGATCGACCAAAGATTTGTTCCGAGATTGCCTTGGAAGTGCTATATCCGAGGTTACCAGCAGCAGATGTGGTCGTCCACAAGAAATTACCAACACCATGGAGAAAGTCCATAACTTCTCAGCAGAAAATATAGGCTGATATAACGAGTTTAACAAAGCTATTATTCCTTTTATTAACCTATTTTTAAAATGACAATAAAAAACTCTTATAATTTTCTTTTTTTTTTCTTTTGGCTTCGTCTTCAGAATAAAAAAGAAGTTACAACAACACTGAGTTCGGGATAATAACTGTTAAAATATTTCATTGCTGTATTTCTTCCATATCTTTGCCAGTTTCCTCTATGTTCTCCCTAACTGTACATACGATCTCTCATCAAATCTACATGTGTGATGAGAATTCTGCCAACAACGCAGAAATTAAAATTAAACATGAAGCGGTCCAAAAAGCGCCATTTGTTCCGGTGTAAAAAGTAAGTAATAACAATGTCATTAGCAGCAGCAGCAGCAACAACAACAACAACCACTGATTATGGAAACCCGTCGTTACTATAAAAATAACATTTCCATCAACAAACAATTTTCTTTTTGCTTAAATAATTAGAAGTGCTTAATCTGTTTTAATACGGTTTTACTGTAGTCATAAATTTCACTTTAATAAAATTGTTCATTCATTCATCTGTGACAAGTTAAATTATGTTTTACATATTTGGACCAGAAACTTATTGTGAGAAAACAAATAGTTGGTTTTCAAAATTTATAAAGTGAAATTTGCAATTAATTAATCAAGATGCTCTTGAGTAAATCAGTTCACTGGGGAGATGACCAGATCATTTTGATACACCACTTACATTATATATATATATATATATATATATATATATATATATATATATATATATATATATATATATGAATATTAGTGTTTAAGCCTTTTTATTATATCCTTACTCTGTCCTGGACATTGAGTTCTACCTGGATTCTATCCCCTTGGAATTTTTTATTCCAAAAATATACATGTATGTGTATGCACCTATGTATATATATTTATATATTTTGCATATGTATGTGTATATTTACCACTAATATTAGCTATATATATATATATAACATTTCATATATATAGGGTGCTTCACAAAAGTAAATGAACACCTAAGTTAATATTTTTCAAAAATGTCTCTTTTTTCCAGATAATCAATAAATCTTAATTAAATTATATACTCATTGGTGTTAAAAACTGTCACAAAACATTGTTGATTTTTTTAAGATGGAATGTTCTATTGACATGTCTCTAATTTGTATATCGATACATTGTATTTATTTTCAATTTTTCTAGGTGAATTGTTCACCTATAATACATATGATCGACTATTGTACATAATTAGGCTACAATAAAATTTGCATTTTATATGGATACTACCTTATGAAAATTGAGATTTACTAGATTTGGGGAGGGGCTTGAATCTCTTGCACAAGCCTTTAGGTCAAGAAAACAATTTTGTTCATACTCAGATTTATTTCAACAGTTTTTTTTTTTTTTGAATGATTCTACTAAAGTTGAAAAAGAGAAAGAAAATCACTTATTTCTTATTTATTGCCATTTCAGATAAGACTGTTATATTTACTTACTGTATATATTGTCCTTCAACTGACAGATGCCACTGTTGTCAATGCATAACAAGTGAAATTAAAAAGAAGAAATGTTATTTTTCATAAATTTCCTAATATTTTGATGATATTTTTAAAAGATAACATTATTCTTTACGTGGAGGCACAGTGTAGTAATGAATAGCGGCTCAGATTTAGAAATTGGAGAGCCGAGTTCGAATTCCAGTCGAGTCCATTACATTCACTTATGTGCTAATATCCTTGGGAAAGATATGAATCCTCTTCTTCTCCCCACCACCTGCTAAATAGCAGGACAAACTGGGTTCTATAGCCTTGAATGGCAACTGGTCTACCGCAGAAAGTAGTGGCAACCTACTGCAGAAAAAAATCTGCCTCGTCAGTCATATATTGAAAGATACATGATCACCTAAATATGTATCATGCATGGCATATAAATGACTGACTGAATTTACATTATTAACAGTAAGATGAATTTCTTTTTCTTTGTTGTACCCCCTGATCTTCCTCATGTGCTTGTTGATTCAAGTAAACTTCAAGGAATCTCAAACTGATCTCTTTATTTAATCTACAGAAGTAGATTTTTCTTATTCAACTGTTCATGTCGAGAAATTTCAGATCTTGTTATTTTCATTTTTGATACATAAATCACCCAGTACAAAGCTCAAGAACAACTCAAGTTATAGTCAAAATGGTCTTGATAAATGACATCTGGGTATTACTATGGTTTATAACCAGCCATATTTTACTGGATATTTAGTGTAAGGAAGAATAATGTTTTAGCCTTCCAGTAGCACACTGATACTAATATTAGCATTAGTGTAGCCAATATTAGCATTAGTGTACACAGCACAAATGTCTCAAGAAGCTTTGGCAGCTTCATGACCATGATTAAAAGCAAACAAAAGCTACCAAAGCTGGTCACTCTTGTCTACATAGCATTCAATCTCAAAGGGGTGTCTAATCTGAAATAAAATTTTGATGACATCAGATAACAGTTTCACAGGATGACTAGAGTTACTAAGAACCAAAACAATGCTATAAAAGTTTATTCCTTGAGACCATTGACGGAATATCAGGGGCACCTCAATGTGGTGAAATGGTCCGCAAGCTTGTCTTGCTTGAACAATTATGACTGAATAGTGAGTTTAATCCTCACTGGGTGCCCCATACTTTAGGCCTTGTGCCACATCTAAGCTACACTTTGAAAATCACCATTCACAGAACATCAGAAAAAAACAAATGAATATATGTAACAACCTAATATAAGTACCCACTTGAGGGGTCTGGAGTGAAGTTGGGACTCATTATACATTCAAAACATGGAGCCTCAGTGAGAATGGAACCATTTATCATGATTCGAGAAAACTCTGAGCTGTTAGAGCTAGATCAGAGATGAGATCAGCTTCAAGATTCCAAGCATCTTCATTTTTGAAGGTGCACCCATAAATTGTGATATCATCTGTGACCTTGGTCATACTAGTGACCTTGGTAGGTCTTTAGTTAAAAGCAGAAAAAAAAAGTAGGAAACAATTTTGGGGGATGCCTCGATTGGTCTCACAAGCTTTGGAAGGCTGGCTGTTCACAATAACCTGAGAGAAAGAATAAACTCTTCCAGAGGTGTTACAACTGGGAAGTTTATGCAGCAACATCCTGTACCTCACCATGTCAAAAACCTTTGAAATGTCTAAGGCAATTGCTTTACTGATTCTGTGTGATGACTACTACAACTAATCAATTCCCATAGATGCCCTGAGGAGCATAGGAGACACAATGCCCAAGTACCTTAGGACCCCTGAGGAGTATGGGGCCATAGCTCTCAGCATGCTAGGCATTGCTGCTACAGTTCCCATAGCAAATAAACTTTTACAGGATGGAGTTGTGAGCCCCATTGCCAACTGGTTTTGAATTCAGAGTTTTCCTTCTACAACCAAAGCAGAACTGCCCAGTCTGTCATACTATTTAACCCATAGATGTGGGGAAGAGATGAATTCATACTTTTCTCAAGAATATTAGATGAATGTCATGAACTTGAATTGAATTTAACTCTCTGATTTCTCATTCTGAGCCACCCACACATCCTTTGACATTATGGGAGATGACATATATTTGCAGTTGGCTGAGATGAGTGAAATCTATAATAGTTGTCACTCAGGAGGTTATTTCTCATGAGGTGATCAACTACCTTCTTGTTGATAATAGACTTGAAGCGTTTATTAATGACACTAAAGAGGCTGATGGTATGATACTGCAACATCCTGGGTAAAACATTAAACTACATCCGCGTCCTGGGTAAGATGATAAACTACGTACAGCAGCAAGGCCTCTGATCAGGAGGTTTTGAGGAGTGTGGAACCACCTCTTAATTGCTGGTGTTCCCAGATCCACCCTGACCCGGGGTGTTAACACCTGTTAGGGTCCCAACTATGGCGAAATATTTAACTTTTTCCAGCAATACTTTTTTGAAAAAAAATTATTAACAGCAATACAATTTTGAAGGAAATATATTATCAGAAACAGATTTTTGAGAAAACAAAATATTACCAGCAATTTTTTGTCAGCATTAAATAACCCATTGAAGTTGATATACCGTAAAACAAAATAACCCAAACCAAACTAAACCAAAGAATACATACTCTAATCATACAAATCTATCCTAAAAATGTTGTCGGCATTAAATAACCCATTGAGGTTGATATGCCGTAAAACAAAATAATCCAAATCCAATGATACTGCAATAGAAAGGAATGGTCAATGGCATTCTTAAAAACAGGACACATATCAGATAATTTCTACAGACTTGAAAACCCTTCCTTTTTCAGATAATGGTTAAACAACTTTGCTAGAATTGAGGATAATTCTAGACAAAGGTTCTTAAGAATGATAACAAGGATTTTGTTTGAATCAGTGACCTTTGTAGAATGAAGTCTGGAAATTTCTTATGCTAAGATAGTTAGGTCACAGTGTTTGTAATCCATGAGAGGTTAGAATGAGTGGTGTTGGCCATCTTATATGGAGGCAAAGTTCATTGCTTAACATTGTCTAAGGAGGATGAAATAACCTTAATAATAGCATAACAGGATAGCTGCCATGATGGAGTCACAATAATGCAAATGAAATGTCATTTAGTGACTTGAGGGACTGAAAGAGTTAAGATTTCTAAATGAAGGAGTAAAAATATCAAGTGGGGACATTCTAGGATCCTTTTCCTGGGCATGGGGATATCTTTCTGAAACTGAACTTTTCACACACACACACACACACTGTAGAGTGAGTGGATATGGTTAAAGGTAAATAAACGGCAGAACTGGCCAACAAATGGAATTGACAAAGTTTGCAATAAACAACAAGAAAGAAAAGAACAGTGTAAAAAATAATATAAAGCAAACAAACAATATATGCAAGGCAAATTAACAGTAATATGGCAAAGCAACAATAAAATGGCAAAACGTTCACAAATTAAGAATTGTGGTTGAAAAACAAAAGCAA